GTTTTGCCTTGTAAGTTTGTTTATGAATTTTTCCTTTGGACGACGGTACTTCTCAACCACAACGTCGTCTGTTCTACCTTAGGTCGTCTTCGCTCTATGGAACCCAGCCGCTATCATGCCCTGAGCCAACAACGAGGATTGAGCAAAAAAAAAACATGTTGACGTTCCGCCCGATATGGGACTTGAACCCATGACCCTCAGATTAAAAGTCTGATGCTCTACCGACTGAGCTAACCGGGCTGGAATTGACATAATAATACCTAGTAAGTATTGAGTGAGATTTTGCTCGGAACGACTATACCCAGTCTAAATTTGGATTTAAAAAAAGGACCCATGAATGGAATCTTTCTACTCCCTTCTTATTGCCCAACCGTGTAGCGATGTGTGAGCTACGAAATTAGTCAGTTTTGTCAGATTTCTGAATTGAGGTTCAATTCATATATCATATTTGTCTAACACGACTATGAAAAGTGAAAAGTAAGAACAGTTATTTTCAAAGGCAGTAAATTCCAATGCTAAAAACCTATCAATCTGGCAGTAGTGATTTTCAGGCTTACTTTGTAAGTTATGTTCCCAATGCAATCTGTTGTAAATAAATAAATAAATAAATAAATAAATGTATGGAGAAGAAAGCCTTATTTCACCATAGGTACATTCGTAATAAAGAGAAATAATAAATAAATAGACAGGTAAATAAGATATGATATCGTGGCGACACTATAACCGTTAGTCATTAATCGTAGGTAGTATCATGCAGTTAAATCTGTGGTGAATGCCAAATCATGAAGCCCCATGTATATGCCATCCATTTCATTCAACCGGCCTCGTTAGCGCAGTAGGCAGCGCGTCAGTCTCATAATCTTATTAGATATCTGAAGGTCGTGAGTTCGATCCTCACACGGGGCATTCATTTTTAAGTACCCTATCTAAGCAATTTTACGGGAGGCAGCGTGGTTTTGGTAGAAAAAACTCTTAAAACAACCTCTTTACTTGTCTGGCTAGCGAGGACCAAATATGTTTAATATGTTTAACCAGTGACCCAACAAAATGGGGTTACTTCCGCCCGGAAGTGAAAAGTAAGCTCGACTATGGCTCTTGAAACTGCATAGGAGCGAATAGCATCTGTGCTATCTGTTTATAGTCAAATTTTTGCCGAGGCCGGTTTCAAAAGCTGTCCACAGCATCTGTCAATCTCTTTAGTCGGGTTTGCTTAACTTTCTTGAACTCTCCCAACCCCTCCTCGTGTTTAGATGACAGTATGTAAACACGGAAAGAGGTCTAAAATAAAATAGTGAAGCAGAAAAGTTTTAATGGCGACGTTATCTATGCGTTTGTCCCACAAAAGATGATAACCAAAGAGAGAGCCAATCAAAACGCATCGCTTGAGAGACTTCTTCCGTGCTGTTTTGCTATGTAAGTTTGTTTTTGAATTTTCCTCGGGAAGACGGTATTTCTTAACCACAATGTCGTCTGTTCTACTTTAGGTCATCTTCGCTCTACGGAACCCAGCCGCTACCATGCCCCGAGCCAACAACGAGGACTAAACAAGAAAAAAAAATGTTAACGTTCCGCCCGATATGGGACTTGAACCCATGACCCTCAGATTAAAAGTCTGATGCTCTACCGACTGAGCTAACCAGGCGACTCCTTTGTGACATCTGATCAAAAGCCTGATTCAAGATTAGTCATATTCCAGCTACCCCAACCCTCAACAAGAACTTTTTTGAGAACTCAGTTACAGAGTATAAGTTGCTCTGGTCGGACCTTGACCACGGATCATAAAGTACGATCAACAGACAAATTCTTAGCGGTGTAAACTGAGGCAAGACCACTGTACGGGAAATACGAGGCCGCCTCATAACTTTGGTCCTTATCTAACTGGTTTGACATTATTTCATGCTTATATTAGGAGAAATTTATAGCAAATTAATAACCTCTGCCTGACCATATCTTGTAAAGAAATACGGTTTTATTTACCACAGGTCAATAAAATATTTGCTTTGCATGCTTGTAAATAATGCTGTGGTCATGTTGAGGGATACCTGCGGATTCTCTACATCATTTCCGTCTTGAAAAATCTATATTGAGGCTATGATGCGTCGAGAAAACTTTACATCAGGATTGACATTTTCCCTGTAATGGTTTTTCTTATCACAGCAGGTGTGGTCCGTTAGCTCAGTGGGCAGAGCGCGGTGCTGATAACGCCGAGGTCGTGAGTTCAAGCCTCACACGGACCATTTCCGCATCCTTTTATCACATGTGAATCTGACTTATTTTTTGTTGAAGTTTAGCCCTCTGACATACGGCATCAGTTTTCTGCGACTTTATCTAAAGGAAACCTCGAATTTACATGTGCAGGGCATTGCAGCAACACCTTCGCGACGTAGAATGAAATGACAAGGACGCATCCAAACCAGTCGCTAGACACTTTAATCTTCCTAATCATTCTAAACAGCATATGGCAGTTTGCGGCCGTAAAACACTAGAACAAAAATTTATCTTCCAAATCGGTACACTTAATCCCCACGGAATCAATGAGCGCTTTTCATTCAACTAATTTATTCCTGTTTTCTCGTCACTATATTCCCACCAAAGACGTAGCTACACTTTCTGCATATAAACCCACACACAACCTACAATTCCTCCAATCGCTCTGACGAAGGGCTAACGCTCGAAACGTCAGCTTTTTACTCTTTACGGTGGCTAATTTACGTTTTCAACCCAGTTGTTAACACTAAATTATAATGTATTATTTGCCTCTCTAAGGTAAGGTAGAATCAGGATAATGAATTTTTCCTTTTTTGTTGTTTTTTTCAATTTATCAGTAACCCTAAATTAATACTAAACTTTTTCCTGGTCCTGCAGACCACAAGCTGTTTCGAAACACTTGCGAAGAGTGATAACCGTGATAAGGATCAATCGGGCAGTTTTCTTGTTACAGTCTGCTGCCAAACGAGCCCTTTGGAGACCACAACTAAGTTTTATTTAGATATTAGGTCTCTTCAGTCAAGTAGAGGTTCCATTTAAAATGCTAGAATGACTTTTAATACTCCGACGATCGTACCATGGTGCGACTTTGCAGAAGTTTGTTAAAAACAAAACTCTGCCCCGTGTGAGGATCGAACTCACGACCTTCAGATTTCTAAATCGTATTATGAGACTGACGCGCTGCCTTCTGCGCTAACGAGGCACCTCAATTAGACGGGGTGGTGAGGTAAAATAAATTATAAAAATTAACGCTCACGATGCCTATTTTAATATACAAATCCTCTCATCGATAAGATTTGATATTATAGTTCGCGAAAAGCTTTTTTGACAACCATTTAATCAAGCTCCCCCATTGAAATTGGTAGAATATTTTGAGACGATAATGGAATGATGGCATCACTAAGATAATTGTGACTGTTAGTATTGTTATGATTATCATCATAATTATTTTTTTTTTATTAAATCATTCCAACAATCAATGAAAAATGTAAAATAAAGACTGTTGTTTTTCAGACTGGGTGAGCTTTTATTCGCGGACGGACGATGTCAAATCGACTAAATTAGGCGTGCGGTAATGGCTGGCTAGTGAGAAAGCGCTGAATGGATTGTTTACAATGGAGGCGGCAACTGTTAATCTTTTTTGCCGGTAAAAAGCAATCATAGTTCGAAAGGAAGAATTATTGAACTTAATCCTTCTCTTTTAGAAACAACCAAGTGCCTCATTTGAATACTAGGCGTAATTTAATTTCGATTTAAAGAAGCTTCTAGGCGTGCTTAAAGCCACAAGTTTAGTAACACTGTAAGCCCACCTGGTGTGTTTTTAATAAAAAACTGACAAACTGTCTCGTTGCTGACGGAAAAAAGCCGCTCTTTTCAGCCAAAGCTGCCTATTTGTCCTATCACCAGAGCGCTTCTCTGATTGGTTGTCGAAGAAATATTAACATCACTTGAACATGAGATAATCTTACTTTCAATTGAGCATCTTTTAATTTTATCCATGTATTCAAGTCCTTAGGATCTTCGATCAGTTGTCCTGTGTTTCGATGACAGACCAAATTTGGATAGCAAGGAGCTTCAGTGAAAGAATCATTAAGTTAGGAAAAACAATCTTTGAAATAGTCGTAAAATAGTAAAAGGTAGGGCAAGATTTCCGCTCGGCCCTATACCTCATTATGCATACAGTGTTGGATAGATTACCTTATTTGGGATTACGGCTCTTCTTAGGATATATATAGTATGGGGTAACACGGAAATCTACTCAAAGGCAATGCTTTTTAATGGCAAACAGACATAACTAAGAATTCCTTGGATCAATTTTCTTGTATCGACCTAACTATCAAGCAAATGTCTACATTCTTTGTGTCAATCTACTTCCTCTTGTCTCATTAAACCTGAACGAAACTAAAATCACCTTTAGACAAATATATTCACGAGCGATCGGCTTGTTAATAAAGGCGGCTCTTTTAGTTATCTTTTGATGTTTATTCATAAATCTCATCTTACATGCATGACAATGGAATGATTTTACTTTAAATTTCTGCTTACCTCTGAATAAATCACGCTGAATAAAACCCCGTTTTCATTGCATTATTTCCCTTCCCTTTGCGACAGGATGTTTTAGTGTCATAGAGAAACATAAGCGAGGAAAAGTTTATTTTGGAATTATATCAGCTGGCGACGTTTTGCCTGTACGTGCGCCTCGGACATGATATATTTTCAAAACATGAAAACGTGCCCTCAGTGCCGTCTTAAATAGGATGATGAATTTGCATGTTTCAGGTTTTCTCCTTTTTTCGCCCATTGAAATATTAATACTTTTAAGAACTCCTGATGTATTTTGAGCGTGAATAGAAGTATACTTTGTGCCGCGCAAACAGAATAAATAAGTAGCGGAAATGTCTTTTTTACGAGTCGAATATGAGACGGTTATTAACTTCAGATGAGTGAAAAAGAAAAATCTCATAAAATAAGTATTACAATAGACGCCTCCAAGTTATGCAGTTTAGCATGTTTTTAATGTCAAGTGACAACTCAATATTTTGTTTCTCCGTACAGGATAGATTCTTTGAAAAAGTACTCGGTGCGTTTTTAACAGAAATCATTATATTTATACAAGGAACCTCTTTTAGCTTCCCTATTTACAAACATCATCGAGATACTCCAATTAGTTGCATTTTCTTTTTCTCTAATGAGAGTGATACACAAAATGCTTCAAAATACAAATAGCTTTTACTCAGATACGTTCACTACCAACAACTGATTCTACTCTGATGCATCAAGATGCAAACTCGCTAAATGTACCGAAAACCCGCGCCTTTAAGTGGTTTCGGTATAAACAGCTTTTCGATTATTCGTCAGAGAACAATAGTACCTTAAAATCTCTTGTTTAAAACTCGAAGAAATTGTCTTTGATAATGCAAATTGTCAGAGGAGTCACAGACTGCTTTCTTTCTGAGTTTATGACTCATGATTCCTCGGTTTGTTAGATCACCAAGCCCACACTTGCGTGAACGAAGCTCTTGTGAACTATTACCCGTCTTTGCGGGATTCTGCGTAATTGTTTCCGTTGAAAAGCCCGGCATTTCCTCACCGAAGGCAAACGCATTCTTAGGTTTCGGGGAATCGGGACTTTCCTTTAAATCGTTCCCTCCCAGAATGTTTCGCCCAAAATTAGGAATGCTTCTACTTCTTTTCATCCCGTCGTCCGCTTGGTAGAGCGCATTAAGGGTGCTATCAGATCCAAACATGGCACTATTTCTTGTCAATCTGCTAAATAAACCTTTGCCAGATGATTTCGGTCTCTGTTTCTGCTCATTTTCCGTTGTGAGGTTGTAGCTGTAATGTACAATTCGGTTTTCCCCATCACCAACCTGATTATCCATTTCAAGTGTCCTTCAAGTCCTCTCTTAGTTTCGCTTAACAAACGTAACTGGATTCTAGTATGCGATTCTGGTTCAATACGGTTTCTCCAATCGAAAACAAACTGACCCGGCTTCTCCTCGAGACTACTTCGGTAAAAGTCAGTTAAATCACTGAGTAATCATCCCTTCTGCGTCAACGATACATTTGTTTGGACCACACTTGAAAAAATAGTGGTAAAGCTATCACCTCATCTCCAGGAAATAGATTCAAATCATATTCATTACGAATCGAACTAGCCTATTTTAAACTTGCTTGCGTCATCACGGTTGTTATTATAACTTACTTAAACGCGTATGTCATTAAACCACTCGTTTGCCTCAATTTTGCATTTCGGACTCTCAGTATTTAGATATTTAAAAGAAAATGGATTATCTCCTATTATCGTAATGGACTGATTCCAAGACACTCTTTGTATTTAGTCATAAATGTGTCGCGAAACCGATCGCAAATAGGAAATATTATTGTCTTGTACCATTCGCACGCACTTGTATTCGAGAAGTCCTCAGTAAATGTAAATTGCGCGATGGATCTTAATTTTACTCCTACGATTATCGTTAATAAATGATGCAGTTTTAATGCATTGGTTAACCATTAGATAATAGTAATACTAAGACGTCAATCTGTAAATAAAACTGCGTTTTCTCATGCAATTCTCAAACCTTCGCAATTCTTCACGATTCGTCTTCATCGCTCGTAATACATCGACAAAACATTAATTTGAATAACAAAAGTGGAGAAAGTGGTGCAAAACAAAGTTAATGGTATTTCTCAAGCGGGACTGGGGAATTTGCTCCTTGTTTTTAGTGATCATCACCATTAAATTCGTAACCATGGAGTAAAATTCTACACATTTTGATCCGAATCTTTGGCGTAACCTCACAAAGGATGCTATTAAAAGGTAACAGAGATGCATGTTTGGTTTGTTCGCGCATAAAATCAAAGCAGCAAATAAACCATGACGCTTCTGGAAATAGTATATTCCTGCGCATAGTTATAAATGGTTTACGGATTAACGGAACACTGCATTAGAAAGAGTTCTAACCACGAAAGAGACAGTATGAGAGATTTTAGTTGGGGTCGCGCATGTCTTGGTGGAAGATATCGATGTTATCCCCCGCCATCCCCACCTTTGAAAACACTCTCACGCCTCTGCCAGGTTTGACAACAAGTTAATCTTTACCCTTTCGTTAATCTTTACCCTGAACGAATTTTTTTGAGCTATTAACTGCCGTTAAAGCCTCTAATGAGCGATCTTCGAAATTGAAAGTGGAGAAGTCCATTTTCATCGGAAGTGAAATACTTTGTCCTCTATATTGGGCTGTTATCATTACAGGTAGTTTACACTGATGGAAATGCCTTTGGGGGAGTGAGTCTATTTTGGTGAAGGTGATGCCTTAGTGAAATTTCCGCATGATTGTTTGCAAGAGAATTGTTTGATACTTCAAATACATCCACTCTAATTCCCTTTAGGCCACTATGCCCCAGTCTCCCAGTGTATTGGATGATCCCACCAAATTGCCTAAAGAGTCAAATAAACTTCCCAGAAAATAAAACATTTATGATTTCTCCAGCTCATGTACTCAAATTAAGTATCTGAATTTATTCTTATCCCAAAGAAACCCAAATAATGTGGGAGAGAAATGATGAGAGATATTATCAGTGTCTTGTCACCAACCAAAATTGTGAATTCTAAATAGATTTCTCTACACTTGGTGGGGAAGTTACATGTGGGATCAAATTTTCAAATAACATTTAAGTAATTATGCAGTTTATTTTCAGTTACAAAAATAATCCCAAAATGCATAACCTCAGTGCTTAGGTACAGGAAAGACAAAAGAAACTAATTTAAAAAATTGAGGAACTGGGAAAAACATCTAACTTGGAGATACATTGATGCATCAGCTGAAATTATACTCATCAAATTAATCACATTTATTGTAAATATTTTATGTCTTCAATGAAAATCATAACCAAATTACATGACAATACTTACTCAAAAAGCCCCATGGAAAAAAAATTAGAGTCACTGTTCAAATCTAATTATGTGCATACATTTAAAAGTGCAAAGCTTTGAAAACATACTGCTTTGACTATGGTTATTGAAGCTACAGTATTTGTATTTGTTTATGGTGTACATTGACTTCTTTTGCGATCTTCATCTGCTGCCTAGTAATCCCAACTTATTCCTCATTTTTCTGGCTCATCTACCCCAGCTTGGTTCATCAGGTCTCCAATGTTCTTCTCCAAATCATCGATTCGTGTACTCATGTCGTCAAGTAACCTTAGTCAAGGAAAAACAACTGAAACTTTGTGAAATTTTCTATTCTCACGAAATAATTCCCCTCAGGCAGCTACCTATTTATTCTTACCAACTAATTGGGGGAATTAGGAAAAATATCATTATCTGGCCAATTTGTGGGTGTCTTCTTATTGGTCTTGTTTGCTTGCTAATGTATTGACTTTGTTGCACTATATAAAGGAATACTTAAATATTATGGATGATTTGATGTTTAAATTGAAAAAGAGAGGCTATTCCCACCATTAACATATTTTGAACATATAAAGTTTTTCTCCATGCACTGAATAGCAGATATTGAGTATGAAATAGCTTTCAGTACAATGTCATCTTCTCAAGCACCAGAGTAAACCTTTTAACCCTCAAAAGTGATTCACAGGTATCCACATATCATCCGGCAACAGGTAATGAGAATGATGCTCAAACTTATAAGGTACAGGTTGATATCTTGATCTAACACCAAATTCCCGTAACTCATTTACAAGGAAATATGTAGCTGCTAGAGGGAAGAATTAGCAATCTGATCTTGGGAGTTAAAGGGTTAACTAGAAACTAGATGTTCATGATGCAACCAGTTTAATGAAAACAGGGGATTGTAAAACAGGCTTAAATTTAACTTATCTTCAGCTATTATCAACACTGAAAACAGATACTAAGTCAGTTTTTCAGTTGGTTCATTACTGAACCATCCCTTAAATGAATACAACACCACATGTCACTCTCTGGCCCAAGGTTTAACTCGTATGGTGATTAACAGTGTAACAATATAAGATCCAGCTTGACAGTTCAATAAGAGTACAAATAACCAATTACACAGTGCACTGTAGAGGAATGTAACAGAGGTTTGTACTCAAAATATATTTTTTTATAGAAGCCATTGCGATGCAGCTTTACGCCCTCGTGAGACATTGACCGGTTTGGTAATAGAATAACAAATTTTCACAACATTCCAGAATCACCCATAAATATCCAATGGACCTTCCACATAAACAACAGGCCTTTTTCCCATTTTCGAATTTAAAAAAAATATTTAAATAATAGGAAAGAGGTGCGTTTAGATATAAGACAGACCCTGTGTAATTTACCGACAGAATAATAAGACAATTTGCCGATGTCAATTACATTTGGACATTTCTTCGTTGATAGCATATTAAAATTACAGTCGATAAATGTATTGCTTAAATGTCAAATGTCGTCAACTTGCAGCAGTGAAATAACCTGAGAGTGTATACACCGATAATAAACTCTAGTAAAGGATATTTCTTGTGATGATCTGGTCTGACATCTGCTGAAACTTGTCTTGCTATGAATTAGAAACAACAAGTTTTACAACATACAATTTACAGAAGCAGACATTTCGAAACCAAAATAAAAGCTAGTAACTGGATGAGCACTAAAAACTTACACCTACTTACCATTTGCTGAAGCAAGGTTTGTACCTATAAATGACGGAAAAAGAAACAAGAGAGACAAGAAAGCAACAAGTACATTGTCGTTTAAATCCAATGATAAAATTGATACATATCACAATCATGAAAAATCGGGAATTGCAATAGGAAGTATGTCGCTAAAAAATGATCATAACCACAAACGACGAATAAAGACAAGAACACACAAAACTAGAGAATGTTTAAAAGTAGTATATGCCGAATGGTACAAATCCAGTCAAATCTTGAACACTTTGTGGGTCAGTATCTTCAATTTTCACCTTCGTCTCAGTATCAGCCATGTTTAAACGATGTTCGACGCTTTCTGAGAAAGACGCCTCGCCAAGCGGAAATTGTACCTAAGAACCAGGCCTCCCTCTTAATTAACGAAACAAACATGGCGGCAAAATCTGAAGAAAGCGTAGTTTGAGATTATGTCGCAGCATGAAAAGCACCTTAGTGCGTATTTGAAATCCAAACGTTCTGGATCAACATCTTCAGGTGCTGCAAAAGATAGGTAAGCCTTGGATTTCAAAAAGTAACGATTAAGAGTTCTTTGCGTCAGTTACTCTGTAGTCTGAACGTTACCCGAGCAACGACGTGATAAAGTATGCACCTAAACTTTTTCTTCAAGGCCAATAAGGCATTAACCTGCAGAAAAAACCCGCTCCTCATTTGAACCCTATCAAATGAACGACGATCACTTTTTATTGATTCTTCTCATTGCACACTGGTACAATACACACTCGTCAATTTAAAATGCACAGGGTTAACTTAGGGCTGAAAAATTTGTGAACTATTTCAAATCTTTAGCCTGGAACGATGAAATTGAGCGCTCTCACCTCTATTCCATGATTCCTCCCTCCTCCTTAGATTTACAGAGGAGAAAAGGGGTGAAGGGGTGAGCTGTCAATAAAGTCATGATCTTGGTTGAAGGATGCAGGATAGCTTCTTAGTCACAGTACACGGTTTAATTAGAAGTTTCACTAAAAGCTTGTTACTAGCAGTCCACCACCGCCCATAAAACCTTTTACCATAATCTGTTTAGCCTCCAAGTGGGCTCTCATTCTTGGGTAAAGGGGGTAAGTTTCTAAAGAAACTGTTTTGCTGCATCAGTTGGAGAGTATGACAAGGTTATTTGTATTATCATATGAGTTTATTAGCCTCTGTTAAGAGTTTCAAAGCTGTCATTTTGAGCCTTAGCCCTTCATCAGAGCAAAACTCTGACATGGGCCAATGCTCGCGATCATCAAAACCTCAGTTTTGAAACTCTTAACTTACAAATATCAACTCATTGGATAATACCAAATGATCTCCTGCATGGGTTTTGCTTTGTGGCCCCTTTTCAGTTTGGTCACCGAGTACATCTAATGCATTGGCATTTGGAAAAAGTTATCAGAACCCCTTGTGTAATTTACCCTCTGTCCCAACTGGTATGTATCTTTGAAAATTCCAGTCATGATGGATTACCAGAGAAGAATATAATCAGTTATTAAGTTCATCTTATGTTGGAACATGGCTGTACAAGTCATCCTTCCCTACAATTAGCAAAACTAATGGGTTGAAAATTCTACTACCCTCTCATCTTATTAATCTCAAATATTGTGTTTGATGAATTCAATATTAAGTTAATTTGTAGAATGTTTAAAAAAAAGTTGGGTGTATTTTTATACACTGGAACCTTGATTATCCAGACTCATTGGTAGTTGACAAAATAGTCCAGATAATCGAGGGTCCAGATAATCAAGAATATGAATATTAATGAGGATAAAAAACTGATTAAATTAAGAAAGTGACATTTAATTGTGAAACAAAACATTTACAAGTCATTTTGAAAGAAATATGGTCTACCTCTACAGGTGTGTATTAACAATAAAAATTAATGAAAAATGTTTTTTCATTGGCCTTAAAATGTTGAAGTAAGTCAGTTTGTCTTAAAGAAGAACATCTTGAAATCAGCGTGGAATCTCACTTAGCAACAAGTAACTCTAAGCCAATCAGACCTCATTCGAATGTTCTTCATTAGTTATGATACATATGAGTTCTGCTTTTGCTTTTTGAAAGCAAAACAAACTTGCCTTTACTTCACTTTTCAGTGCTGTAGTTTTAAAAAGAATATGGCAATGGATGTTGATCATGACTAACAAATATTCATGACAAAATTTGGAGCAGAGAAAAAGTCTGGATAATCGAGCTCTGATTGTATACTCCACAATGATGTACAAATTTATTCTGATTTTGTAGGAATGCCCACACTGGGAAAAAACCATCAACAAAGCAATTAGGAAAATCACAGCCATCTGCTGATTTGAAACTGAAGAGAGGATTGGACCTTACCAGGTTTCTTCTTTATATAATTAATCTTTACAACACAAGAAGCTCAGTTACATTGTCAAATTGATGTTGCTGATTCCACAACTGTTCACTCATTTGTTTCTAAGGATTCCAGAGGAAGTCATCTTAAAGATATTCAAATACTTGAGTCCCTCTGAACTGCTGGTATGTGCTCAGGTGTGTCACAAATGGTCTGCAGTTTCACAAGACAGGTATGTTTGCACATGGACAAGTGAGTTATCATCATTCAGTAATTAAGAAGTAATGAATTCCCTACCTAACGTTGATAAAATGTCAGTTACATGTAGCAGCTGGATAACAAACCACTAATTCTCTATTAACATAGAGCAATTATTACCAAAGGAATGTATTTATAACATTTAGCCATGTTCTTTACATGTAGTATCAGAGGAGATCTTTGATCCATGTGTAAAGAGACAGGTTACAACGTCAGCTTTGACTCATGTCGTAAATTACAAAAGGCTTGTTGTTTGTCTGATATACCCTGTAAAATGATGATGACGATGGCAGGTTCCTTGAGTCCAAGGATCAGCAGGAAGGTCATCCCTGTTGATATACCCTCTGGTGACTGTGAAAGCTGATCCTTGATCTGCACACTCTGCCACACCCTGGGCATGGGTGTTCTTGGGCAAGGGGGGCTCAGGGCTGCTGTTGCCTTTCTTTTCTTCCATTTCTCCTCTGCAGCACCTCTTAGGGCCATCTCCAAGGCCACAGCGCCTCACCTTGACATCGCTGTCCAGATTTCCCTCTCCTTTGAGTTTCTTCCCAATCCTTTTCTGGGATCCCATCATACTGTAAAATATTTTGGCAAAAACAACCCTTACCTTAGCATCTCTTAACTCTGATGATGACCACTTCCCGGTTTTTCCTGAAACTTCATCAACAGACAACAGTCCCTTTCAGGACCAGGGTTCACCTAGGCTATACTTAACTATTCCACACAACTCTCATAGCTGTTAAAGTTTATACTGCTTTAAATTTTTTGGAGACCTTATTTGATCAAGCTCCACCAAAGATTCTATGTACATTTCACTCCTCATGTTCCATGGCAAGATTGCTTTTGCCATGATCAGTAAATACAATTTTTTAATTAGTATGAAGTTAGTTTGTGTAAAAACCTTTTGTGCAGTTTTTGCTATCAATTGAAATGCAACATTATTTGATTTTATCAATTTATTTGCCTTCAATTTCTTTCAAATCATACATTCACCTTTACAAACTGATGTGGTTTTCATAAGATCTAAAAAGATATTACAACAAACCTTGTTTTCATATCAATAGTCACTGACTTTGAAGATGACAAGTTTCCTCTTAGGTTGTTGAAATATGAGTCAATGTCAGCAAAATGTCATTCTCAGTACTACTTTTACCTTAATTTAGACAATCAAACGTTACTCTTGGATTCCATTAGTTCTGTAAACCTTTGTTTGGAGTTCCAAATACATCATTTTGTTTTTTTCTTATATTGTAGCTGTTTGTGGGAGCCACTGCTTCCTTATCTTCCAAAGCGAGTCAGAGATAATTTAACCTTCAAAGAAACAAAAGATGAAGGTTTTGACTGGAAGCGTGAAGTAATCAAAAGGTGTCACAAAGATTTCTGTCAGTTTCTTGTGCTGCTTGTTTGGACTAAACTGAGTCAGTTATGGTATCAATTACACTGCTAATTGAATTTTTTGTACTCATGCAATGCAGATGTATACGTGCAAGGAATGAAGAGATGCTCAGAAAGCGAGGAGTTTCACCGTACACTGGCTTACAGAAAGATGCGTTTCATCCCCTTAGGTTTGTTTTTAAACAAGAGTAAAAGGTTAAACGATAATACAAAGTGGTTAATATCGAAAATTCGACTCTTTACAGTAAGCGTTTGAAAGTAAGCTAGCATCAAAATGAACTTAACACGAGGCTAGCCCCACTTCCCACCTCACATAAATGAAATGTCTGTACACGCATAAGATTGTCAACAACTCTATTTTTTGTTACCCAGGTTTACTGACATTAGATGGAAGCTTTGTGTTACAGACACCTCTGGTAAGGAATACTGGCGGTCGTCCGACTGCAGCACTCTTTTCCAGTCTTCACTCTGTGTCCGCTGGTATTCCCTAAATCTACCACCTCTCTCGAGACTGAAGACACTTCAGGTGTTTTCTTTTGTGCCAGTTTTCTTTAACAGAAGTTGGAAGCCTCACTATGAAAGGTGATCACAATCGTTCATAGGGGTAAAAAGGGTTTGCTTTTTTAATACATGATTGAATGGTCATAGGCATCCGTGCGACAGTCACTTTGTCACTCGGAAACTCTCGCCTTTTTTTATTTTTTTTGACATTTATCTTTTTGGTAATAAGCAGGAGAGCTTTCACTGAAAGATGTCATAACATAGGAAGTGTGAAGTAAGGGAGAATGCTCTTCTCGTCTAAATAAATAAATTATCAGGAAATCAAAATTTAACCTATGGATTCTGCGTAGTAGCCAGAGAATTCTCTAATTCATAGATATGGAAATTTGATTATTTTAAAAGCGGCTTATTTGTGATGTCATTCTCCTCAAGGATATTGAAAACATCTTCACTTTCACATCAAACCTTTTCTTCCTTTTTCAGTGCCACTACAAGATCTCTTGTCCTCCAATTTGATCTTCGCTCTAAAGGTGAGAAGCAACGTCTTCATGAGATATTTTAAACTAAGCAACAGTATCCGTGACCATTTAGTACAGTAACTACCTTTTTGTGGACAACCTAATAATAACAAAAAAAAAAAGCTTTATACTTAATTTCCCGTATAAGAATTTATTCTGTTTTTTTTTTTAATTGAAAGCTGGTCCTTCTAAGTCTCAGACTGTTTTATAGGCGTGTTGCTGTTGTTTTTTGATCAGGCTCCAGAATGGCTCTTTCACAAGCCACAGCCGTCAGTGGAGCTGGGATGATAACAGCACATGTGATATGTTCCTCCGTTTTAGCAGCTTGCTGGAGCGCCTCTTGGAAAGTAAGTCTTCTCTCCTGATAGGAGATAGCGCTCATACTTCACCTGAAAAGGTGTAGAATCATTGATTTGCTACGAGTATGGGTTAAGAATATTTGCATCACCATGTGTTGCAATGAGTTATGTGATAGTCACACTCCAGTTGCTCCGAAAGCAACTTATTGAAACAAATTTAATATTTTTTTGCATTGACGGTTTTTTTTTTGTTTGTTTGTTTATTTTTTTACATCTTACAGGATGGTGGGGAACTCGCTTTTCTTACACTTTGCCTTCATCAGCACAATCTGACTAAAAAAGTTCTTCTGGGTTCGCATTGCAGGTTTGCAATAAATCATGTCCTTTTATTTCCAAATTACATGTACTCTTATGTGTTTAGAGCTTGCCAAACCCGCCATGGTTTTGAGCATAGCATAGTGGTCAAATGATAAATTGTCTCTTCCTCTGTGGTAGTTAGTACTTTGGACTTCTTGACCCAGCATTCTTCAATCGAGCTTTACAAGCCACTTGACAATTACATTCGCGTCTCAACCCATCCTCGTATCCAGAGGTAGTGATAATGCTCCTCTCAGACGATTTAAAGCCCATGCAGAATAGGTAGGGGGAGGCGTTTTCTGCCCTTTGATGTTCATAGGTGGAGAGTAGTGGAGAGAAATTATCTCAGAGCAATATTGCAGGGCAGTCGGTACGTGTACGTTCACATTGACTGAATCTCTTTCGGGAGTGTTCGAAGACATCATAAAGACATCATAAACGAATGAAACAGAAGGCGATGTTTAAAAATAAATGACACAAGAATACTTGAGAACAGAAATTTCTGTTACTTCGAGCTGGAGTCGAAAGAACGATTAAGGTTTCACAGGTCTCGTTTTTGTTCACTGATCAGCGGAAAACACGCCATTTACTCGACTATCTGAGACCGACACCCTGTCAATCGTGTCGCATTTGGCATCGATATTTTTCAGACACTTGTACAAAAACAATTCATGTGATTTTTCCTGTTAGAACCTTCATACCGTCAGCCCACGTGCCTGTTCCTGATGACATAGACCCAAAGTATGGTAAGATCACACCCGCATGAATAAATTTCTGTTTTTTTTTTTACCCTTTAACTCCCATGAGTGACCAAGACAGAATTTCTCTTTACAATATCAATACAATATCAAGCAGACCAGTGATGAGAATATAGAAAAATTTCAATTAACGGATTATTAGTTGATCCAATACCAAATTCTCAAAATCAACATCATTAGATTTGTATGGCAGACAGTAGAGAGAATTACCTATGAGATCTTGGAAGTAAAAGGGTTAAAAGGAAAACGTAATCTGAAAGATGCATCACGATGTTACACACATCTTTTTTCCGTTAACATGAGTTTTGGAAAAACTATTTCTCAAACTTGTAATAACCTCAAGAAGTATGCATATATAATTTAGAATTAGGATTCATCATTAACGAAGAGGAAAGGTGTAAACTGCAAGCATGCCAAATGTGTAAGCGTTAGATTTACCCAATGACTCGATTTTCGATGGGAATTTGGTTTTTCCGAGTGATACGACCATATAAGTCGAGAGAGAGAGAGAGAGAGAGAGTACAATTAAAGGCTCAATTTCCCTGGAATAGTTATGTCAAAATTGTTTGCTGTTTCAAGCAGATCGCTAGTGTATCAAGGAGGATTTGTTTAACAGTAAGAATCATAGCTGAGCAAGAAGAGACCAGAACGCCATTTTGTTCGTGGTTAGTTAACAACATCGCCCGCTTGGTCTTAGAACGCGGCGTTACGCAAAGCGTTTTCTGATGGGGGAGAGACTGTGTTGCGTGACTGCGAAACTAAATAGCTGTTGCAAGGAACCTGGCCTTGCACGTGTACTGACAATATGACATCTTTCTAATCAGGACTTCATGGATATTCTGCCACAATAGAACTGAGAAATCACAAAGCGACTTTCTGGGGAAGGCAGTACAGGGAACTCTACCAACGTGAGCAACTACACCGTAGAAAATACGAAGGCATAGTTAAGATTGTTAACCCAGCGATACTATTTCTTTGGAAACTTATCACCTTTATTCACCTGTTCTTCACTGAGTTGTTTTCCTCTCTCGGAAAAACTGACGCACGCGGCATGTTTAGTCACATTAGCAAACGCTCCGCTTAAAATACGTGAAAGTATGAAAGCACAGTTTTCTTAAGTGGCTTAATGGTTCCGTTTTATTGTTTTTTTCTTTAGGCAATTTTTCTCTAAAAATGGTTTGAATCCTGTTCCATAACTAATTATTCTTGTGTTTGAAACAGAATACTTGGCTGATTCTTACGTGTCCCTTGGAGGTGGCAGCCACGAACACGGTTCATTTTCAAGGAAGCTTTCACTTCCTTGGAAAACAGAATTATTCAAAAACGTCTTACCCGTGAGTGCTGAAGGCAAAGATTTTTATTTCTTCTTCAAAGAGACCTTGCACGCTAGATCAAGGCGAAACACACTTCTTGTTCGCTATCTAGAAGCGCGCCATTTCGTCTGTTTTCTTGTAGTAAATTTGATTAATCAATCACCAGTGACCCGCACAGTGACCCACCCTTCCTGTGCTTGTTATCACGTTTCTTCACGTTTATGAGACTAGAACTGATCCATGATGTAGCTCCTTCACTTTTTATGAGTTATGCTGTTTTGAAACCCTTTGTCTAGAGATAACCTTATTTCCTTTTATTCTAGGATATGTGTTTCCTAGATGTGACTGTTCTACATGATAGGAAGCCTTTCTGGTGTTTCAGGTAAGCGAATCAGAGAATCACACCTGTTAAACGCAAAACGCAACCAAAACGTAACTCACGCAAATCAAATACAAGATAATGATTCAAATACATGTTTAGTTAGTCAAATGCAATGCTAACGCGTCGAAGTTATGTAACACAAGTTAAAAACAAGACACAAGTCACCCGTGTCAAACGCCCAGTATGAACGTTGAACACAGATTGCGTCGACTGAAGGCAAACTACACGCGCACGAGTCAAACGTACACACATGCGTCGAAAGATTCTTGTAGTAAGGTGATCCCTTCGGCTTATTTCGCTGCCGACAAGATTCTTACTATGTTGTACAGACTTCAAAACTGATGCATTTACTCTGAGATTGTGGAGTGAAGTATATCTGCCAACGTTTTCCATGAACTCATTTTGCAGCTCGCCTGTAAAAGTTCTTATCAACAAAGTATTAGATGGTAAGTCTCTTCACTTACGTATGACGGCAGGTCACAAAGGTTTTTGACTTTGGTCACTGGTACGGAATTATAGACCCGATTTACAAACGCTTTAACTGCAGGCGTGAACAGCAAAACGTACCATCTCTTAATAACAAGGTAATTTAGTATTATCGACTGAGTTTCAAGCGTTAACCCTACATCATTCGCTCTGACGAAGGGCGAACACTCGAAAAGACAGCTTTGAAACTCTTAACGGTGGTCAATTTACGTCATCAACTCAGTTGATAAAACCAAATTACCTTGTACTCTCCCACTGACGCAGCACCACGGTTTCTGTAGAAACTTACCCCCTTCATTTATTTCTTATTAAATCCATCAGGAAAAAGAGAGGCATGATGTCCTCGAATAGTGAACAAGTGACTGCCTTGTTAAATTTATTCAGTATTTATTTTTCTCGCAGGTGATTTCACTTCAGAGGGAGAAAAACAGTTTATCGAATTCAGTGATGAACATGGTTCTTTAAGGATGGATTTTCTCTGGGTGAGTGTTTCGAGTTGTCTATATTACCTGTAGAGATATACCGTTGCTGATTGTGAATTTACGCTCCTTTAGATCGAAGATGAGGAACAAACGCTTGTTACTAACGTTGAGCTACGTGTCTTGAAGTCTTTTGTAAACTTCTGGTTCAACACGGCCTATTGAAGTCAAGTAGTCTCGACCAGTCCCTACCCCGCAACTTAACACCAGTCTTCCTTGTCAATTTAAAGGAGAACATAAAGACCTAAAGAGAGGATGGTGATGTTTATCGAATCAGTAATGGCGCAGTTTGTGTCTTCTTGATCAAAGTTTGGACCCCCTATCAAACATTTCTGGATCTGCCTGGGGGTATCCTATGCGGTCGCTAACGTGCCGCTCATCAGTTAGAATCCCAACTGGGTATTTCTATCAAAGCTCTTGAGCCATCATTGGAAATGTCAATTAACCCTTCTAATAGTGTTTTACTGAAAGTATCTACATTTTCAAATATTTTTTTTTTGTTTTTGTTTGAGTTTTGGAAAATACTGATTTTGTTTATTGGTTCTCTATGAGCTGATACTCAGCGAGTAAATTAACCAGTCAGAACACGAAATTTTCAATTTGGGTTTTTTTAGGGGTTTGTTGAAGTGGTTTTTTATAAAAAGGAAATAAGCACACAGATTTACATTACATTTTGGGTGACGGATTCCCAATATTTTTCTTTTTAGGTCAATAAATATTGTATGACACCCCCCGTTTTCTCTTAATCAAATGTTAACCCAGTGATAAGGTGGTCTGTCTTAATGAGGTCTACGTAAGTTCCATATCATCTGCCCCGTAGACGAGTAAAATAAATTTCACCCAAAAGCCACAGTTCACATAATCGCTTAGTTAGGTTGAAAGAATTAAAATAACTGAAAATTCCATAATTTGCGATTATTTTCAGTAGTTATAATTACTACAAAGCCTTAAAAATGAATCAATGGGGTCGAGTTGTGAAAAAATCCGTACATTAATCGACAAAAGAATCGTTACTGAATGCCACATTATGATTGCAAAAGTAAAATCCTTACGTTGAGTATACTCATTGTCAGCTTGGAATTTCCAAAACGAAGCAAACATGGATATGTGAAATTTTGTTGATGCTGAAAATCATTCACAGGTCGTTATCAACAGCTGTTCTTCGAACATTTTGTCAATTAGTATGTGATGTTGTTAATGACAGCATTTTAATTATGCACAAAGAAACAACAAACACAGAAGGAAACTTTGAATCAAGGATAAAATAGCAGTGAAGCATAATGCATTCTCGGATCGGAAAATATCAATGGATCTTTCTCAACCAATAAATTTTCTTTCTATGCTGTCTTTTTCACTTTTGGATCTATAGAGAAACCAAGCAAGACTAAGGAAAAATAATTAAAGGGGTAAGTTTCTAATGAAACGATGAGGGGTATTGTGGGAGGATTTGGTTTTATCAACTGAGTTGATAGCGTAAATCGGCCATCAAAAAGAGACTCTAAAACTGACGTTTCGAGCTTTAGCCGCCCTTCGTTGGAGCGAATGCGAAGGGCAAAAGCTCTAAAACCTCTACGGAGGCCAATTTACATTGTAGACTCAGTTAATAAAACTAGATTACTTAGAAAAAGAGACCCTACTTAATGAAGATATGCAAACTTTTCCAGAAAGTTCGACGGCTTCACAGCTGGCATCGTTGCTCTGTTGGCAGGGCGTATAAACATCCTGCAGGGGATCCCTTAAGAATATCTAGACGAATCAGATTCTTGTGCTAACAAGAACACGTTTTTACACAACTCTTTACCCTTGGGTGTTGAAAGACAGAAAATTGTATCAAAAGGATCAAGGAATCAGCTCGCTTACCATGAATGCGTTAGTGTTTGTCTCCTCGGCATTTTTTCACTTTTTTCACGCATCAAATTTTAGATCAAAACTTTGCAAACGCAGCCCAATCAGGTCTTCAGCGCAAAACGAACGAAAATTTAACTTTTGCACTTTTCAATGATCATTTATTTCACTTTCTTGATGTTCCCAAAATCGCGGAAACCTTTGTGCAAACCACAAAACAGTGTCTGCTGCAATGCATCAAGAACCGTCTGTGTCTTCCACAAATGTTGCAGCGGTTCCTCAGCCAAACGGACATGTATCGTGTGAGTTACTTTCCATCGACAATTACAATGCATCTGAAAATTTCGTAAGAAGTTTTACTTCTCATCACTACAGCATAATGGTGAGTTTGAAGGGCAATAATCGTCTTTTAGCACATGGCATAGGAAAACGTGATCGTGAAATGAGGAAATGAATGTCATTTTCATTCTTTCACTGAATCCAAAGTGGTGTATGAGCGCGGTTTCTGGATGACGAATCTTCAATTTGCTTGAAAGCTTTCGTAATGCTTGGCTTAGATCCAATAGTGAAAGCTATACTTGTAGAAAAGTAACATTACAACCAACCGGTAAAACGTTTCGACCCCAGTTCTTTCTGTTAGATTACGTGACTTTTAAAATGCTTAAAGTTTATTTAATGTTAAATTAGTGTGACTAACTATTTGAACTATATTTTGATCTGTTTTCTTTCTGCGTGACTTCTACAATGATTATCATTTAGACAGTTTGACTTACGAGTACTTACAATTTTACCTTGAACATAATTTGACCTCCATGACAAAATTCACTTCAGGGGGTCTCGCTGTCCCTTAATGAGGGCTTGCGTTTTTAAAAAAATTACGTGTATGTGTAGAAATTGTTCCTAAGAGGCAATCTGCCATCCAAAAAACTAAGCAAAAGTAATTTTTCACAATTTTCTCATTGTGAATCGAAAGATAATAACAAATCAATTATCACTGCCTTATTTTGTATCTTAACATTGACTGGTGTACCCTGCACCTGCGATCCGAAAAATACAAGTTTGAGGCAACGACAAAGATAGGGTTTGCTTGTTTTTGTTTTTGTTTTTTTTTCTAATTTCCAGAGTCCTTGTGAAAGTTCCCCCTCCCAGAACGGTGGCTCATGCCATGCTATATACGAAACATACGATTACAGATGCAAGTGCAAACAAGACTACTTTGGAACAAACTGTGAAAGGCGTAAGTAATTTTCAGCCTGTTAAAATCATTTGTAGAGTCGATTATTTTGCAATTTTTTCCAATTTGAATCGCTTTCTGTTTTTCTTGTAGAGAAAGCATTGTCTTGTAAGGAGCGGTTTTACCAAGGGTGAATGCATTTGTCGAATATTGCCCAGGTGCATAAAGTGATTTTTTTTTTTGCGTCATTCTCTCAACCAATCCGAAATATAAAAAAATAAGACTCATGGTCTCCCACTGTTGGGGCCGGCCATGTGCCTTTTCTTTCAGTTTCTCTAGCTTTGGTTTTCCCTCAATTCACGAAAAAAAGGAAAAATATACTATTTAATAAAATAGCATATTTATTTCCTACCAGGAGCCGTTCTCTATTTTTGTTTTGTTTTCGAACCGGTGATCTGGCTTAAAGACAAGCACAGTTTAAGGGTTTAATTGTAGAGAAAAAAAGGAAAATGTGCTGATATGTTTCTATACTAGTTATCATGGTTGTAGTCTTTTTATGTCAAAGATATTTCGCGTATATTAGCAAACAAATATTTTTTTAAAGAAAGACGTTTTTCGTCTTGTCCATGAGGAATCGAACCTCAGACCTTCGGATTCCGCGCTCCGATGCTCTACCACTGAGCCACAGAGACTGCACGGTGAGCGCGGTCTATTACGACGTTCATATGTCACGCGTCCTGCATACTGCCAGGATCAGCAATGTCGATAGCGTAATGTTTGTAGACAGAAATAAGAGAGGTGGTAAGTTTTGAGCTCGGTAAAGAAATAAAGAGAGTGGGACAAAATAATTATTTTTTTACTGTCATAATTCATCATATTTTTTTTGCAATTCTCTCTTAAGATTCCATAAGAGCGGTGTGTATCCGCTAAGTATGGACGTTGGTGAAGTCCCGGTGTATTGTCACATGACCCTGCCAGCTTGTGGTGAAGGCCAATGGACATCAGTGATGAAGATTGATGGAGCAAAGGTACTAGAAAAGCAGAAGATCTCATTGAGAAATTAAATGTTGTAAATGAAATCCTCTACGGAACCTGGAATTTACTTGTTCCCATTTTCGCCATTACTCCTTAGTTGTGCTGAATAAAATTGAACCTCTTTTCCTTTTTTTTCTGTCAAGGACACTTTTATATATGATTCACAATTATGGAATAACATGGAAAGCATCGATATTCTCGGCGGAAGCACAGGGTTCGACTATCAGCAAACCAAGCTGCCGACTTTCTGGAATACGCCCTTGACTCAGATCTGTCTTGGAATGAAAGTTAAGGACGAAGATAGGTTTATCACAATCAATCTGACGGCCAGTTCGCTGCATTCGATATTTTCCACTGATCAGTACTTGCCAACATCATTGGGTCGAAATGTTTGGAAAAAGGTAGTGGGTCCTCAGGCTTCACTGCAGCATTTGTGCAACAAAGAGGGTTTTAACGTGGTGTGTTCAGGTGCCATTAAAACGAGAATCGGTATCATTACGGATGACGTGCCGATGGTCTCTCCGTTTACTTGCGTAGGCTGTGACTCGGCTATTACGTTTGGAGGCGATGATTTTCAAGTGTGTGGGAATAATGGCTATAAGGATATCTCTGCCATGGGGTATATTCTGATAAAATAAAAAATCCCGCTGTATGTGAAACCAAGAAGCACCTTTGGGAGGTTAATCCGTTGTGCCATATTAATATGTTTATAGGCATCTCTGTGAGCATCAGATGTTTGTAAGTGGACAGCTTGAATTTAAGAGCGAAGCACCACAAAGCTACGCAATTTGCCGGTCGTAAATTCTAGTAAACAACAATTCAAGCAGGGTAAATCTACCACACGGATCTCGTAAATGCAAGAAATTTGTAAGTTTTTCGGTTCGTTTTTCGAACGATTGATATTATTACATTTATAAAGTGTTGATATTTCCTAAAAGAATTTTGTTCAATAGAAGATTGTAATTTAATTTAATCTAATTAAATTTAATTTTAAAACCGTTCAATTTCAGAATTTATGATTTTCAACACAAACTTACGCAATTTTCTAGCCGTTAGTTCTAAAAAACAATGATTCAAGCATGCTGAATCTACTACATAGTCTCGTACATGCAAGAAATTCGTTCGTTATTCGCTTCTTAGCAGAAAATTTACAATTCTCTTAATCAAGATCTGGTCACGAAATATATCTTGGTCGTTTTTGCCTTGTCATTTATTGATAGTTTTCGGGTATAACACGATTACCCGGCAGACCCGACCCAATTATAATAAACTCTCTTTTTCGTGCACAACTTGTATCTGCATACTCTGCTATAAAAGAATTGGTTCATGCTTTAGCTGAGCGATCGAGTTATGGATGCACTTGGGAGGTTTGGAGAGCACTCAAAAAGCTAGAGTTGCTCTCGGCTGCGCCTGGAGTAACTCTTACGCTTCTCTCATTACTGGAACGACTCTTGCTTAATTTACTCCTTGCTCAAAATCGTGGTATTAGGCTGGCGACTTTATTACTACTACTGAAAAAAAATTGCATTGTAGAAATCAGTATTATATTGTCTGAATTGGAATTGCATGAGAATTTCCTGTTCTTATGAGGCTGTGTTCTCAGCTCACAATTATAATTTGTTCGTTTCCTCTTCCGCTTGCATAATGTGCGTGGTATTTTCCTTTTTGATATTGTTTTTCCTCTTTTAGTAATGTTTGTTTATGTTATTTCTAGCAAATGACCACATCAACCCACCAGCAGCTGCTGTGATGCCACACGACCAAGGAGTCTAGTTATTTAGTGTTCGAGTGTTCGTCTTTTTGTGTGAATAGGAGAATCAATGACTTTGTGGCAAGTGTGTTTCGTGTTTGCTGCTTTATCGAAACATTCTTGGGATAGCAAAAAATTTGTAAATGCAACTGGAGAGAACCTGAGAGGGAACCTTCTCGAGAGAGAGCTCCAATATGTGGCCCAAATTCATGATAAACTACAAGACGCTGTTGGATGCAACGATGTTGCAGTTCTCAACGTGTCGTTTGATAGCCAAAGGTGGAAAAACGAATCTCTTATTGCAGTCAAAGTCGCCAATCTCTTGACTTCTCTCTGGTCTGTGAAATCGTCCGCTTCTGCCGAATCTGTTGTTGAGAATGACATTTTACTGTTTCAAATGGTTCGCTACAACGTCCGTTTCTCTCCATCTGTTTTCGGATCAGCTGTATGTTTCGCGCCAAACTTGTACAAGGACTATGAAAGGTTTTGTCCTTATGCGTTCAAGGACAAGAAATTGAACGGAAGCATTCATGTTACAGATCTTGGGCAAACGGATTACGATTACACTACGAGCCCAAACGCTATTTGGTGGCCTGCAATCACACAAAAAACCAGAAACAAGAGGTCAACAGATTGGATGAAAGTGACCGACTTTTATTCAGTAGGAAGCGCGAATGGAATTGTCGAGAATGAAACCCGCAACCGATTACTTGTGACATACGAAGATGGTTTGTGGACTAGGCCGTATTTCGATTGTTTTGGTGGCAAAGAGTGGATGATAACCTATCTTGCTCCAGTTTTAAACGAAACCAACGAATTTTTGTAAGTTTGGTTTTTGTTTAATAATTTTGCCTCCATCTCTTATTCATCTATAATCATCGTTTTTAATTGTTTTTTTTTTATTCTTAGCCAAGTGCATTGGCTGGGTCTTATGGTATAGGATCTGTGCGCTATCATTTGAGTACACTATCCTAAAGAGCAGTTTTCTGTGAAACGATAACAAAGTGTTGTTAAAAAGTAAATCAACTGAATCTAAGAATAACAATCGATCCTCTTCCAGGTGAGAATAGTCTTGTAAAGAACTCTTGACGATGGCAGAGACTGACGTTTTTTTCGACAGGTTGTGGCGGCATATGCCACTATTACTGATCACAGTCCTTTCCCGGACTTCTCCAAGGCGGACGATTATCATAACACGATCAAAACTGTCTTAAACTTGAGTGAAGTCTTGACTTCGCCAGAAGTAATAAATTCGTCAACTGACTCCATTTCGGTTTGCTTGGCACACGCCTATCTCTATAGTCCCGCGCGCGTAGTAAGCAAAAAGTCTTAGAGGAAGTTATTCATTTAAAATATGCGTAAAATCGGCATTCAGAAAAAAAGAATCGCGACTCAAAATTTAAACATTGAAATATGAATGAAATACAAAACTATTATTTCGCAATCATTTTCTCAAATAAACAGCCTATCGTATCAATTTTTATGTCAAGCTTTTCCAGCCGGTTCCAATTATTTAACCTATACATCATTTTGTTGAGCTTTTGACCGTGAGAAAAGAGCAAATTTCTAATTTTCCATGAATTTTTTAGGCAGAGACTTCGCCGGGGTCGCAAAACGTTTTTTCTAGCGTAACGATTTCACGTCATACAGAAGTCTGAAAGAAAAATATGCGGATATCAAGGGAAAAGTCGAAAATTTATCATATAAATAGCCTGAATGGTAGCATATTGTGAGCACAAAACAACCCTCACATCTGTTCCGGATAGCCCTGTTGTTTTTAGAAATCGGTCGTTTTTAGGAGACCAATCAATATAAAACCGGTTGAAAAACCGCAAACAAACCTGCTAGTTAAATAAAAAATCAATGAAGAAGAATGGGGCGGAAAACAATCTGTTTGTCATATTGCACTTTCTTTTTCTCAGACGGTTATTGTTTGCTTCATTGCATGCAAATATTTCAAAATATTTGAGTTGTAGTTAATGAAAACTGCAACATTTTTATCAGGCTTAATGAAACTGAGCGGCCTAATGGTGTTTTTGCCGGGGGGAGTTTTAGTTGTAGTAATTACGCAGTCGTTAACCATATGCAATTTTTGTGGGGAAACTTAGAACATGGGCAGCTTACAGGAAAGTGTGGTCTAATCAACTGAGTTGATCATGTAAATTGCCGTTGTGAAGAGTTTCTAAAGCTTATCTTTCGAGCGTCGGCCCTTCGTCAGAAAAAAAGACTGAGGGCTATCGTTTGAAAAGTTAACTTTAAAAACTCGCCACGGTGGCCAATTTATATTAACAAGTCAGTTAACAAACCAAATTATCTTGAATTTTAACTGCGTGAAATAAATTAACTATGAAACTATTTGCATTCAAATTAGTCATTTCTGCCTTTCGAAGTTAACTACTAAAGGGCCAACAGAATAGAAGCAAAATGCCGATCAATATTTTTGCGAAACAAATCATGTTTCCCGCGTACGAGACTAATTTTTCAACATCTTTCTTTATACCAGCGAATAAGCTTAAGATTCAACACCTTTTCATTTGGCATTTGATTCTGAACAGCTGCAGAACTGCTTGTATTGGCTCTATACAGGACATTTGACGCATATGAGCCTTCAACACCTTTTTGTTTTGCATTTGATTCTGAACAGCTGCAGAACTGCTTGTATTGGCTCTATACAGGACATTTGACGCATATGAGCCTGGTCAGTATGTTACCGGCTCGGTAGCAATCTCGTGCAAGAGCTTCCGTTACCCAATACAGCGGTCAAGGGTCAGGCATACGCAAGGGGATCAATTTTGGCCGGCTGTGCGGCAATTTCCCGCGTAAAATTTCAGGGAAAACATGAAAAATAACCGCTGTCTTGCAAAATATGCACAAATATTCAAACGCTTGTAGAAATCTGCACAGGGAGACAAAAAGTATGGGAAAGGAAAACTTGGGAGTCCAGAATACTAAAAATAATCGATTACAAGTATCCAAATACTCTGAAAGCGAGATTGGTTCACAAACGAGTTTAAAGAGCATTCGACGGCGGGATTAGAATTAGCGGAAGTTCAAAGTTTCACAAAGGATTCAGACCTTTTTGGTCTTAAAAGCGTGAAAATTGTTAGCAATTGATCTTTCTTAAGATTAAGGGTTGCTGAGAAGGTGGGAACAGCTTCACGTTCTGCAGTCCTGGAAATAAGACTTGGCCGAACATTTTTTTTTTCTTTTTGCTTCTTCAGAGCTTTAGTAAGCGTGGATATTTCTCTTGAGGATGTAGATATCGACCAGTGCGATGCCCCAGACTCCGCTGAACAGCAGAGCTCAGAAGAGACTGGTGACCAAGCCAAACCAAACCACTTAAGCACATTCATGGGAACTCACAGGTGCAAAAAGAGCACAAAGGCAAGTTATACAGACTAAGAAACATCACATTCATGCTGATTTAATTCCATAACAAACTTAAAGGAAACCATCCCTGCCCCCTCTCCGTACCACATTTTAATTTGGAATAGCTATCTTTTTGCAGTGTGTACCAGTCCCTTTCCAAGGATTCAAACGCGGCACCTATCGCTGTACTTGCAAACGAGGCTACTATTTTCCAGACCCCACAGCAACTCGGAAATACTTTCCCGGGCAGGTCCTGGAGAAAGAATACGACAAGATGCTGAGAGGCGAATCGAACCTTTATGAGCACCACTTTGAGTGCCTTGCTTGTAGTGAGGGCTGTGAGGAATGTGTGGATGGCAGCGCATGCGTGTATGATGTGTATACAAAGCTGAGATATTCTCTCCTTGTAATTAACTGCCTCTTTGTCGTCATTTCGTTAGCCCTCGCAGCATTGGTGTTCAAACTTTGGCAGAATAAGGTAAAGAAAGGGCAAGACCAGAACAGTTTGGGTTCGCAATGCTCGTCACTGAAGTACTGGTTTCCAGGCCTCTGACTCTGACCCTTTTCTTTTTTTTGCATAGCAAGTTACGTTATGCATCCCTTTTTACTATGTTTTAGAGGAGAGCACATCTTTAAATAAAATACCACAATTATAAAACTCCACACCGTGTTACCGTCCCAAAACCTAAAAGTCATATACCACTGTCCATGGGAAACGTTCTGAAGTTAATGAACGCCGCTGTGTTTGATCGAGTAAGTACGGAAACCAGATGCTTGAAAGTTGTTTCTTAGAATATGATTAGTCACCTGGTTGTATCTGCTCTGGGCTACGATCAAATGTCTCTAACCAAATCTTGACAGAAATTGTGCATTTTTATTATGATGTATGAAATGAATGAGTTCACGGGCAGCTTTCTTTTCAGTGACATTTTCTTTCCGTCTGTTAGATATTCAAAGCTTCCTGTCCACGTTTTCTTGAAGTCATTATCTGCGGAGCGATAATGATGTATGTAAAGGTACGTGATTTGACTTGATCAATCAGTTATTTACTGCACAACTAATTTTAATGAATGAATATCTCTGTGATAAGTAGACTTTTAATGAGTCAATTTTTTACCCGTAGTTTTTGGTCTTTTTGAGAGCCACGGTATAATGAAAGATAAAATATAACTTAGACAATGGTTAACAATTATTCACAGAAATGGAGGTGAATACCGATGGATATTTACTGAGCCGCGACAGAAACCGAAAAAATAGTTTAGTTCTGTCAATATACCGAAAAATGGTCAGAAATTAAACTCTTGACGCGAGATTTTGTCTCTTCGGCTGCTCAGAGGTGAATAGTACTTGCTAATCTCTTCCGAACTAACCAATCAGCGCGCGCGAAAAGCACTATTTACCTACGTTGTATATATGAATTGTTGATAATGGTTACAATTATAATGGGGCAATTCGATCGCGAAGGCCCCTCAAAAATAAATAAGCTACCTGGAAAAGCATCGGACTGCTGAGCGGGAGGTCAAGAGTTGCGCGATGACTTTGTTGTTTGTAATTAAACCACGTTGGGAAAAAATTGTTCCTCTTAGAAGACATTAAACACAGCTTGAAACAAAATGAAACTCTGAAATTTTTTGCACTCGATCCACTTGGCCGTTTTGTCACGTCGGCTCCCGTAAATCCTCACCAAACAACGTTAGGAAAATAATCCAAAGGTAAGACCCATCATCCCAGTTCAACTGTTGATGCATGTCCCTTTCATGATTTAAGCTTATCGTATCGTTCCCTAAACCTTCCGAAGTGCGCTGCATATTGTCACCTTGGTTACATCACCTGGGTTTCGCTTTGGTATATGGTTCTCTGGCTCTGAAGACATGGAGGTAAGAAGCCTGTTGTAGGCCCTCAGTTAGTAAAGGGGAGGAAAATTGTAAACGGAGTGTAATGGTGACAGGGCGAAAATGAAGGAGGTCTAGGTTGGGTCGCGTAATGAACGCGACTCGATCCAAACCTCCGTAGTCTTTCACTCCTCTGCTACTATCACATTAAGTTTTACTTGCTAAACGCCTGAGAGGCTGAGAGGCTGAGAGGCAAGTTTAAAAAGGTCAGCTTAGTAAATGATCACTGTAAAAATGATACTTTTCACGAACCAACCATCTTAAATTCCCTGACGATCATCCGCTCATCTAACCCTGTTACCCCAGTTCAGGTTTTCGGACCTTCAATAATAGACGTGAAACAGCCCGCCGGTCAGAACTACCACTGTAAAAAAACAAACAAACAAACAAAACACTCATACTAGCAGTTGATCGATCGTCACAGTGGTAATTCACTCCAGGAAGTTCAAGTTTTCCTCGAGATGCAACTACTCTTGTCCTTGAAGGGGGAATTATTATGATTACGATTGGTAATCTTAAGCTTAAAGGATCAATGATTCTTATTCAATAGTAACCATGCATTTCCCTTCCTTTTTCTTTCGTTTTTCCACCACTCCAGAGTGGTGTTAATTTTCCGCGTGCGCTCCGCTCGTAAGTTGGCTATAACAGACAGTGTGTTGCTGAGGAGATTGGCAGTTATTGTATTGCTGTATACAAGTTACTTGACCGTTTGGATGGTGATACAGCCACCTTCCATCGAATCAAGTATTACCGCTGATAAACTCAAATACGACAGATGCTCGACAAGCTCGTTTAGTCACATGATCTTAGCAGGTAAACAAAACATCCTAAATCACGTAAGTGCCTATCAGTGCTACTCATTGTGGCCGGATACCTAAATACATGGATGTCTTAAATGAAGCAAAATCAATCTGTGTCCAGGGAAGATGAGAAATCTTTAGGGTATCTCTCTCCCTAAGAAATGTGTTTACCGCGTAATAAGCGCGCTGGACTCTGGGTAGGAAATCCCTGGTTCGAGCAAAGCCTGGTCCCTGCATTATTTTTTTCGGTAAGTACCCTTATTCTCATGGTACCATAAAGCATTTCTCCACTCAGGACTTGCGACAAGATGATTGGGATGAATGCGATGCGATGAATTAGCATTCTATTGAAAAAGAGTCATGATACTTCGATGGACTGACTATCAGAGACCGTGGTACACAAGCTATGTTATAGCATACTTCAGAAGATCCATAAATAATTCCTGGAAATTTTAAAGCTTTCCCTAGTACACAAAGAATTAGTCAAAATTTGCATGTTTTTACACTTCTCTACTTCTGATAATGTTTTATTGAGTATATTTGTCATAAGTACGATCTGGTAAAGCACTTTTTCCTGGAACAATTCCAATAGAGCAAGTTCCGTTACAACAATTTTTGATTATTTCTTTCTTTCCCTCAGCTGACTTCGTAGTCCTTGCTTGGGGAATGTGGCTCAGTTTCAAAGTGAGAAAAGTACCACAAGTTTACAATGAAAGTAAATTCATCGGCTATGCCATATACAACGCCACGTTTATAATCTGCTTCATCAACGTGTTGAGGTAACGCAAAATCATTCTCAGGCTCCTGAGTTTCCAACCTCATTGGTCTTTTTTCCTCGAACAAAATAGCCCAGAATCTGGCATTTTTGTGATATTAGGCTTGGGCAGTCATACAAACAATGAGTGCTTAACCCTTTGACTCCTAAATGTTATTAACATCTTATTTCTTCTTACAACATCACCCCTGAATCAAACATTAAGGACATGAGAATAAAGGATTTGATCACCTGCGAAAGATGCTCATGATTTTACAACAAATTCTCCTTGACTGCACCCTAGGAAATGGGTAACCGGTCGTTTCGCCTACGGGTCGTTTCGCCTACCGTCTGTTCGCCAACGTCTAGAGTCGGTTCGCCTACCTCCAATATGTCAGTTCGCCTACGATTCATATGTCAAAGCTTAAAAACTGAATTGTTTAAAAGTTCTTGTTGAACCTCGCAGAAAACTGAGTATTAAGATGAAATAAACCCCCGTTCACGGTCTTTGTGTTTACTTGTGACTCGAGCGGCCTATGCTAAAGGAAGTGGGACTCTATGAATTAATGTTTTGGCTGTTAGTTCGTGCGCTTTCATGCAATCCGTAAACTTAGTTACATAGATGAAAAAATGTATATATAACAGGTAAGGCGTTATTTGTGCAGACTTGTGACTTAAGCGGCCCATACTAAAGAAGGTCAGACTTTTCATTAACATATCATTCAAAAGGACAAGGTACTTAAGAAATTAGTTTGTTCCCACTTTACTTCCTGGTTCAATGTTTATATCGATGTTGCGATTTGTTCTATCATGAACTTTATAAATTAGTGTTTTGTTAGTTCGTGCGCTTTCACGCGATCCGCAAACTTAGCTGGATGAAAAAAAATATATAATATAGTTAAGGCGTTATTTGTGTAGACTTGTGACTTGAGGTGAGACTTTCACTAACATATCGTTCAAAAGGACATGCTAGCTCATTTAACAGAGGATTATTATCGAAACATCAACACGGCAATCAACGGTGTCATCAAAGCTATAATCATCGATCCGATTTACTACAACTTGATTCTTTCAATGTAAACTTGATAGCATAGTATAGAAACATCATTTCTTTATCTCTTCCCTCTATTAGGTAATGAAGAAAGTAATGCACCTGCTGCCAATTCAACATCAATTTTTGTTTCAGTTGAATCAACTGTTTTATACAATGATTGTTATACAACGGAGTTTAAGACGTAGGCAAACTGAGATATTGGACTTAGGCGAATCGACTCAAGACGTAGGCGAACAGACGGTAGGCGAAACGATCCGTAGGCGAAACGACCCGAAAGGCGAAAAGACCGTTATTTAGGAAACGTATAGAGAACAGCATGGAGAATCCATGAACTTTAATATAGCATGGAGAATATGGATACTGATTTTAGAGTACAGTGTGAAGGGTTAAGGAGCTAAGTTGTTGAAACACGAGGGAGTAAATAGTATATAGTGCTCATAAACCGTCTTAGCACTAGACAGTGGAAAAGAAAGCACCCAGTCTCTCAAACTCTCATCCAGACCTTATTCGCTCAGCTTTAACAGTGTTGTACGACATGTTATTAGTTCCCTCTCCAATGGAAATGCAATGCCTAAAGCTAACAACTGATTCCACGGGTCTTCTCGTCCGCGAGCGAACATTTTAGAATCAGCGAAGTCTGTCTCTTTCCTTTTTTTTAGTCATTTTTCATACGCTACTTTTAATTATAGTTCAAGCTGTTCAATAATCGAGTGAGCTTTTTCAATATCATGCAAATGTAGCTTCATAAACAAACTCTCCAAGTGGATGCAATTTCGCGTCGTGACCGAAAATGGCTCGAATCTAACTTCTCGATTCAGATCAGAATCAGCCTCTTTAATACCAATCAAAAAGTTCGTTTCAGAATAGAAGGCACCGTCCTCTCCCACTTCCCTTCTCTAATGAACGTTCCCCTCCCAAGTTTCCTGGCAGCAGAATCTCATATTTATCTCTTTTAGTGTTGTGCTAAGTAGCGGCTCATCTCCTGACGTGATGTACGCCATGGACTTTATAAACATCAACATTAGTGCATCTGTCACGCTGATGCTTTTGTTTTCCCACAAGGTACGACTAAATGGGTTGGTTGCCGTATTACCTTACAGCAACACCTAGTTCATTAAGAAAGTGTTGACGCTATAGAAACACAATCTTTTTATGTTTAAAAGGATACGATAAAAAGATGATAAGACCTCTCTCTATATGTGAAAATGATGTAACAGTACTAGACCTCTGCTAATCTCCTTCGCAGCCTTTCTTTGGTCTCGTCACGCAACACCCTCTCTCAACCGAGAGAGAGAGAGACAGACAGACAGATAGACAGAGAGAGAGAGAGAGAGAGAGAGAGAGAGAGAGAGAGAGAGAGAGAAAGAGGGTGCTGCGTGACAAGACCAAACAATGGCTGCGAAGGAGACTAAAATTTTGCAGGCCTCCATTTATCACTGTCACACAAGAGTAAGGCACACATGTCACTAGAGGACTGTAGGCGTGACCATCAAATTAATGTAATCTTCCCTATCCCGAAACACGGAGAGCTGCGAGAACGCAATGTTTTTTTATATCTTACATGTAACATGAAGACGGCCATGTATAAACATTAGCCTCTAATTAGCGCGAAAACATGTACAGATATTTGTCCGCGATGCGAACAGCGTAAAATCAGAAAACTGTTATGGACTTAAGTTTTCATGAAAATTGAGGAATTTTCTTGAATATCACCCAGTTTTAGCTGAGGAATATATGTCATATGCTGTGTTTAGACCAATCGCGCGTAAGCAAAAATATTTGATGGATCATAAGTTCTAATGATTTTATCTATAATATTCTTTGCAGATTTTTTTAGCTTTGGCCCTGAGAAGTAACAGCCACCGCACCTCTCCTCAGGAGAATAAGTTATCAGTTCGTTCCAGAGGGGAGACATTTGCTAAGGAACTTGACACAACTATACTCGGTGGAGAAAATGACGAACTTAAGGTTGGCGTCGCTTGATAAGTCAGTTATTTGATCACAAGCAACTCATTGCGTGGCTAAATTCTAAAATACCTCGGCCTCGGGGGACTTGGAGATATCACAATTGTCTTCACGGGCTTGTATCTGGTATATCTTTAGTCAGTGACACTTAACTTCGGTGCTGCAGAGCTCGAAGCCTTACTTTTCCATCCTTTATTTCTCCCTCTCCCTTACTTTTTTCTATTTTTCTCTGTATGTCTCTCATTCCGGCTTTCTTCTTCATTTCTTTCTTTCTTACTTTGTCTATTGGTTCATTTATTTATTTATTTATTCATTTTTGATATTGTTTTGCTTGCTAGCTTGTCTTCTTGACTTGCGTCACGGACCTCGCCGAAAAGGAGGCGCTGCTCGTAGTCGAATAAGTTTTCTAATATCTTGTCTAGTATGAATTTTTACAGTTAGTCCATAAAGATTGGCCGTGATCATTATTTGCTGGCATTTACCTCCATTTGGCAAAGCTTGCACTTGTCGCACAAACACTCCTACACTTACAACTGATAATTAACCATTTTCTTTTGCTTTTCCTCAGCGGGAAGTACGAAGACTTGCTTCGAAAGTTGCACTTCTTCAATCTCAGTTGATGACCGAGCGAAACAGACACGTAACGAAGATTGGGTCTAGCTAAAAGGCTAAGTGTCAGACTTGCAGCCAATTTGTCGTGAATGAGTGACTTCCGAGTTCTTAAGTTTAATAAAATTAAGATTTCATAGCTCTCTTTAAAAATCATCAAAACATTGACGGTCATAATCTCTTCCTGTACGGAATTGGATTCTCTCAGTTTGTTCATGAACTACTATAGTTTGTAAACCTGTGCAGCAGTAAATGCTGTTTGAAGCGCATTCATTTTGTTTTATTTGCTAATCGTTTGACTCGTGAAGAACAGAAACCTACCGCTGCCACTGCGCATTTCCTGCCATTCTTTAGCCCAGGGCCACTCGTTTCACTTACCGTTACGAGTTTCTTTAACCACGTGACCAAGAAGAACGAGGACTCTGAGAAATGAGCATTTTTCAGCATTGAAGATATTCTTAAACCGAATCTATAAAATTTTTCGATCTTTTCTTGATCTTTGTTTTGATTCCATCTCATTTTATTAGATCTCATTACTGTTTGCTGTCTCCTTCAAAAATTTAAGGCAGTTTTTGTCGGCGTAAACTGATAATTAATCATTAATTATAAGTAATATTATTTTGTAATGAAACTAAGCACCGGTGCAATGTTAAACCAAGCTTTTCCATAGGAAAAATAAAAATATTACTCAATTAATCTGTTAATTTTTTTCGCCTACTTCCATTATCATTTTTACTATTTCCATTTTACATGTTATTCTACACTACAAGAAACATTTTAACAGCCAACCGTGAAAAACAGAATGTTACTTTATCGGTGAGATATGTGATAGCCATTAGTTAATCAATAGTACATACGAGGAAATAACAATTATTCTTAGCATATAAGTGACGCATAATTTTAGAAACCTTAGGTGTGGTGGGATTTTTTTTTTTGGAGCATCGTCCGTGACTAACCTTACCGGTAGGGCAAGCAGTAAATTCGTTTGTCGTTTCAATTAGGTGATTGACGGAAATAACTCTGTAAACAGCCTACGACCAACGTCAATCGCTGTTGTTTAACAGTCCGCCCAAACAGAGGAAATAACTCCTCCTAAATATGGCATTCATCCCAAGAGTTTTGAAATCAAAGGAAGTTTTATGGTTCTATGGTTTAATTTTTTATACACCGACAGACTGAATTTCCTAGAATAGCTTATGACAATGTTGTGAAACCTAAACACGTTTTTTTTTTTCGTCAAGAACTTCTTTTGTGGCACTCAGTACATATTTCTACCTCTTTCCACAGGCTTGTCAATAAGGAAAAGCTTATTCATTATTTATCGCGTATCATCTTGTTAGTTTTTTTTTTCCCTTTCTTTACGGAAAACAATAAATCACGTTCCCAAGTTATTTAGAGAGTGAAACGTGACCTACTTTGTTTAGAAAAGAAAACGTACATCTAAAAATACTTGTCGCTGATTGTCAGCTGATGCATCTGTCCATCCTGGGTGTGTAGGCGTGTTTTTTAACATCCCCGATTTAGAGTAATTGAAAACGAAATGAAGATCATATGTCCAACGTATCTATTTTAAGTCTCATTAAGCATTTATCAAATCGAAGTAGTTCGCAACGAAGACACAAGAGGACAAACAGTTTGTGCGGGGGAGTTGGCAGTACGTAGACCGGTAATAGTGGGCCAGGGTTAGGTACAATTTACGGAACGGCGAAAATATCGCAAAAAAAAATATTTGTGTTTTTGTTCGCGTGGGATCTCCCTATCGCAGATATGTCGTGTTTTGTTGAAAGTGAAATGGGATCCTTCTCCACGAGAGAGACGTAAAAAATATATGTATCCAATACACCTTCCAATGATATGGACAAGATGGAAACTCCTAAACAATTTGATGATAATATCACGATCACCTGTGATTCTTTTCTGAGACACCAAGATACGACACAAGATAAGAAATTCGGAAATTTCTCTATATCATGGGGGCGTTAAATAATGGCGACTTACATTATAGGAACGCCCATTTCCATTCCGATAACTCTGGTCGACACATATCTATATATTTTCAAAATTACTGAGTTAGTTCTCACACTTTTTGCAGGTTAGAGAGAGTACAAATGATAAAAAACGAGATTGCTGCAAATTCTTTCATAAATTTTATCAGCATGGCAAAAGAAGAAACGAAAACATAAGACGCACTAATCGACAAAAGGTCGCTTTTTCAGCAACCGACGTTGAAATAATTTTTTGCGGAAAGAAAGTTAGTTTATGTTATTTCTTATTTCCGTTTTCTTCCTTTGGAATTTACCATCAGTATGACTATACGTTAAAGCTTTTCACTTGAGCAAATAAAAGAAACTTTTGTCGAAGCTAAAGCAGACGAATTTAACGCCCAGTATTTCAGCTTTAATTTTGTCACGGAAAGATTATATTTCTAATTATGAAAAGTCTGCGTAATTCCTTAATGTAGTTGCCAGGATGGCTTCAAGTAGTTTAACTTCAGAGACAAACAACACCAGTTTCATTTATCTGACTTTTTAACCACCAATTTTAATCAGCTTAGACCTTAAAAGAATCCAATTTTCGCTATGAAAGATATGACGACAAGAGTTGTTTTTCCTTCATCGACGTTTTACGATAAGTGAAAACAAGTTTCATTCTCCATGCATGTTACCGCAGAAACATATTTTGATACTTGCGTCAGAACGTATGGCAGCTTGATGGAGAAATTATTTTAAGCCTGCTTTATGATCATCTACCGATCATTTTGATAGCTACTGACGCACGAGATTTCCAAGCTGCACGTTTAATTTTTTTATGCCTCAATCTGTCGAAAAAAAAACCACCCTTCATTTTTTTTTCTTGGGATTCGCGAGAGTGTCAAAAGATTTTAAACAGCATCAACTCAGAGGACTAAACTGGGCAAAAACATTGGAAAGTCTACCCCTTAAGTTAAAAAAAAAATTATAGCGATCTTTCCCAAAAGTGAGGCTTGAAAATTAATCGAGAGACAGGAACTACGTCAAAACACGATCTTGGAAGTCCATAGCGAACAATACTATAATCTGATTGTGACATACCTCCTAAAAAATTTATGGTTGTTCAATTTGTATTTTTACTTGGAATATTACATTAGCAGACGAGTGGATCAAAGTGCTGTTATTAGCAATATCGCGTTAAGATAAAAAAAAAAAAAAAGATTATAACAAGAATATATTGGATAATAGAAGAAGAAAAAAAGGATGAAAGAAATCGACCGCGGAATGCAAGCTGTCATTCAGTAGTCATGCGGGCAGGCATTGACAGTCTGAAATCTTTAACACATGCTCACTGATCATTGGTTACGACAAATTGGTTCCCAGAGCCACGCTTTTCACCTGCCCAGCGGAACAGTTGCTGACCGCTGGTCAATGAAACGAAGACTCCAGGAGAGAGATTGTTCTGATGATAAAGCTAAGCCTTTATCAAAAAGACCAAAACGTCAAAGGATTACAAATGAACCAAAATTATATCGTAAGACCAGACACAACACACGCACTCGCCAAATTCTGCCTTGATTTCAAAACTGGGAGGAAATTCGGAAAAGCTTTACATGAACCTATACCATACCACTCTAAAACAAACTCGTAGTTTCATGGGCAATCAAAATATTTTCGTTACTGTGTTCTTTATCCAAGAACTGTATGCATGATGAAGTATGGGAAATCTTGCCGAAAATCCTACAGTCTTGAGGTAACTGAGAGACTAAAAGACTTCGATCTACTAGATGATCAAACATGTAGCTTCCGAAATGCACAGAAACACGCGCCAAGTACTAAAAATGTATTTACCGGGTGAGGCCAAACTCTAGGAAGGGCGTCGTGAATTACCTTCGGTCTCTGAGCAAAACGTGGCAGCATGAATATTCATCCCTTGTTCTACATGTAACATACAATTACACGACAGTGATTGATAATATATTTTAGTGCGATACCACCAACAAAGCTCGTGGGGAGAGCATTAAATTCTTTGCCTGTAATGGGGTCCATTATGTCCGGGCCGCTTTACGCAAAGAAGACTACAACCCACAAATGACGTCATTTGCAGTAGTTACAGTCACCACATGCTGAGGGAAAACAATTCCTATTTTGTATGGCACATAAATATATCCTTCATATGGACTGCGCGGGTGATGGAGATTATGTTTGTTTATATGTTTTTTTTTTCTTTTTTGCTTTGAATTTCTTTAAATAGCAAAAAATGCGTCTGTGAACAAAGAGCGAAGTACCAAGTCTATTCCAAACAACTCCTCTGTTATAGATGCCTACCGATTGTCCGATTCTTTGGTTGACGCGACAAGATGGACAAAAGTGCCCCTTTATTACTAATTGCCTTAAGTTAATTTCTCTCCCGTCAGACATCAATCATATTTATAGCTCGGGGTCAATCTTTGAGAGGAACATGAGATGTAATGCTATTACGCAAAATAAGACTCCAAAAATGCAACAAGTGTACCGCTTTTAATTGAGATTCATTTGCCGGTGGATAACTTCATCTGTTAAGGCGTGTAATGCTACATCCAGTTTTCAATCGAATAACTAAAAAGGTATCTGTCCTTGAGATTGGATTTTATGTGCTTGTCAAAGTCAAGGGGAAGTAATGTCCCATTATTTTCTCTTGTCAAGGTTTAATTTATTTCGGTGTACTCACTTTAGCGTACGCTGTAAGCGAGGAACGAAAAGAGCTCGTTCTTGCAGAGGAGTGCAAGAGGAACACGTAGAAGACATGTGAACGCGTAGAAGACATGTGATCCCTGTTTCTTCAACGTTACGTGTATCCGCGACCACGAGAACATAAGACTCCCATAGCTAAGAAGCAAGACTTGACCACAGGAATACTCACCATAAAATTTCAATTGCGAAATCTTAAACCTTCTGATTGCCGGTTGGAAAGACACATGATTTACTATGTGGATGATCATCGACAATTACTCTTGAATATCTTTTACCATTTCCCTCGTCTTATTAAGACGAAAAAGGGGTTCAAAATCGATAGCATCAGCTGTTTTTTATTATTGTTATTTTTTATTTTGATAGTACTAAGGTAGACATAGCTGGTCGCAAACAACAGCCACAGCCGCACCCTTCAAAGCCGACTCATTCCCCTCACTAGTTCGCGTCAAAAATATTATTTGTGATGAAACAATTTCTGTCAAAAATATTCTTTAGTTTGTTACGAAAACATCTCATATTTTGATCGGGACATTGACGTGATGCTCAAAAAGTTTACCTATGTACTAAAAGTTCTGTAAGGAGTATTTTGGCCAAGACGTCACTTCACATCGCTTTCAGCCTAACATTATACTTTGTATTTGACCTCTTGAAAACATATTTTCTGCTATAAACTGTATCCAATTATTTGATAAAGAATCTTAAGTGGTTTTTGCGTACTTTAGACTGGGACCATTTGAAAGCTACGCTGGATTAAAATAGATACATTGTGGTTTTGGAAATTTTCAGAATGGCTACGCCGATGGCAAGCTGCCACCAATTATGTCCCGACACCTCTTAAGCAAGTATAAACTTGAAAATCCGAACAGGGT